TGTATAATAGTATTAGTCCGGAAAAGTCTATCTGTGTTCTGGTAACTGTTTAGATCAAAAGAAGCAAGTGTCCGGTAACTTATGGACTGGAGTGTATATATGTATCGCCATTTTTCAACGTAACATAATTAATGTTGCTGATACGAATTATACAATATATATAAACCAAAGAATATAATAGCGTAACTATGTATCGAGGTATCTAAATATCACCGGTTTTTACTTAAAGTCCGTGTCTATTTAAAGATTATACAAGTCTGACATCAATCCCTCTTAATCATTTTTTAAAACCCATTCTCAAAGTTCGAATTGCTATAAACAGTATTCTGCTCGTATACTTAAAATACAATTGAACAGTCGCGACACGCTTATTAATATGTATAAAACAATAATTTAAACATTTTGCTTGTAGCAAATCTCTATAATCAGCACAAAAGAGTTAGCTTCGATTTTGAGAATTTCAACTTTAGCACTTAAGTAATTCACGTAATTACCTGAAACCTGAATATCTTGGATCCGAGAGTTTTACAAAAATCCTTATTTCATGGAAGAAAAAACTTTTTCGAAATATTAATTTCGAAGAATTGACTTTTGACCATAGAAACGCGGTTTTCAGACCATTGTGAATCGTTAGCAGCATTAACAAAAAAAAAAAAAAAAAAAAAAAAAGAAAACTCTGTCTGGGATCCAAAGTACCAATACCATATCGATTTAACAATCGGAACAATTGGATTTTCGAGGCAACTCTGGTGTTCAAAATCCGCGATTAACATCACCGCGAGAGAATGTTCTTCAATGTTCGTTTAAAGAAGACGACATGAAAATGCCAGAGACGATTAAGAATCCTATTTGGTCGATCGCCCATTGAACCCCTTTACCGCGGAACTTTTTAATTGCTCCAACCGGATGCTTCGGGGTTCGGTATCACGACAGCGGTTCCGTTCCGTCTGTTTCCCCCTCTCCAGAAAAGATCCGCCATAGCATTTAACCACGAGAGAGCCAAGAGAACCGGCGGACTGAATTTAGGCGACCAAAGAAGAAGGGAAGACAAAGAGGAAAGAAGAGGTAATGAAGGGTGGTAGTGGAGGAGGAAGTCGTTGGAAGGGACGAGCAAGAAGAAGCCACCTTTCACGAGCGAACAGAAGTACGCAGTCTGTGCTAGACGCCAGGCGTTTCCTTAATTGCATTTTTATGCTCGCCCGGATTTTCCGAGCGGCGGAAAAAAGGCGATGGCGAAAGGTACAGCCGAGAGAGACACAGGGGAGAGTAAAATGAACTGTACTAAATAGAACGGGGAAAAGCCAGTTTATTATCCCGTGGGAAGTGGCTCGCGCTACCGTGTCCATTAACGTACATGCGTCTCGATTGGTATTTTTTCTCTGGCATTCTTTTTCCCCCTCGTTGAATTATTATATATTGGAAATGAACGAATTGTTATATCATTGATGTGCAATGTTAAAAATTCAAAGGAACTCGAATCGTTTATTTCTGGAATTAGAACAGTTTTTGATCAAGCGGAAAAAAAAGAATCGATAAACGAGAGAAGAGGAGAAAGCAGCAGAGAAAGATTTTCACGTTGTCCTAGATGATAATAAATTTCTTCCGAATAGTTATACGTCGAAAATGACCGACTTGTTAAGTAACTAGATTACTGACTTGTTATATTATTGATTTGCAATGTTAAAAATTCAAAGAAACTCGAATCGTTTATTTCTGGAATTAGAACAGTTTTTGATCAAGCG